AAAAAAAAATCTTATTTCTATTATTATTATTTTAATTTAAACATATTATTATTTTTAAAAAAATATCAATTTTATATATTTTATTCAAATTATATCCTGATTTATTTATCAAATTTCTATATATATATATTTACTAATATTATCGATTCATTATCTGGTTATTTAGATATATATTTTAAATTTTAATAAATAATTTTACTGAAATTTAAAATATTAATATTAATATATATATATGATATAGATTATTTTTCCTAATTATCTATATTCCAAATATCTAATATATTATGTATTAACAACATATATAAATAAATATATATCTATTTTTCAAAAAAAGAAACAAACATATATAAATAAAATTATTTAAATAATATAAATGATATTTTTGGATAAATAAATAAATAATTTCGAACATATAGAAATAATATCCGAATAACATAAGTTAATGGGGTCTTCAGCCCAGAATAGTTCCGGTGTGCACTGGTGCAGGAGCCGGTTCAACGAGGTTCCGGAAAAGGTTCCGAAGGTTCTGGAGAAGGTCTGAGAGGCTTTGGTGCAGAGCCAGGTCACGTTCAACAGGTTTCCGGAGAAGGTTCCGGAGAAGGTTCCGGAGAAGGTTCCGGAGAAGGTCTGGGAGGCTTTGGTGTTGAGTCAGGTTAGGTTCAACAAGCTTCCATAAAAGGTTCTGGAGAAGGTTCTAGGAAGCCTTGGTGCAAAGCTAAGTCAAGTTCAACAGGGTCCCGGAGAAGGTTCCGGAAAAGGTTCCGGAGAAGAATGGGGAGGCTTTGGTGCAGAGCCAGGTGAAATTCAACAGGGTTCCGTAGAAGGTTCCGGATAAGGTCTGGGAGGCTTCGGTGCAAAGGCAGGTCAGGTTCAACAAGGTTCTGGAGAAGGTTCCGGAGAAGGTCTGGGAGATTTTGGTGTAGAGCTAGGTCAGGTTCAACAGGGTTCCAGAAAAGGTTCCGGAGAAGGTCTGGGAGGCTTTGGTGAAAAATCAGGTCAGGTTCAGCAGGGTTCGGAGAAGGTTCCGGGAGGCTTTGGTGCAGAGCCAGGTCAGGTTCAACGGGGTTCCCGAAGAAGGTTCCGGAGAAGGTCTGGAAGGCTTCGGTGCAGAGTCAACAGGGTTCCGGAGAAGCGCTTGGCTTAGCAGCACGCTTCAGAAAGATTTGTAAATATAAATCACTGCGGCTGTTGGGGATACCACCGAAGCTTATTTTTGATTTATATATACATATATGTACATATATATAATTAAATGATATATCTTAAATTATAATTCCCCAAACAACTCTTGAGATGAATGTGGTTCTCAATTCTAGAAACGAC